GAGGCGGGGAGGAAAGGGGAACCGGACCTGTCAGGCAAAAACATTGCTCCCACCCTGGTTTCACTTCCGTTTTAGAATGCAAAGCCACAGAGGGGACACCCCCCGGGCGTCTAGGGGGGGGGGGGGGGGGGGGGGGAGGGGGACACTGAGGAGCCAAGTAAAAAGGCCGTCCCTCTGAACGAATAGCGCCTCCTGCTGGGGAAGTCGGGGCAGTGCACTTGAGGTGTCCCTAAAGGACATGAGTCTCGGTCAAGGGTCTGTTTTAACTGGAATCTGGTCGACCTGAAGAAGTCAAGTTTTTCTCAGAATGCCATTCTCTGTGTGTTTCTCAAATAGGAAATGGGAATATTGGTTAAATCAGGACAGATAAGGAGGGATGTGTTAGCTTTCTCGTGGGGGGGGGGATGGAGAATAGGAACAGGTGACCCTGAATTATTTTCCAGTGCTGTCTAGGATTTATAAATACCAATTGAACCAAAAGGACCCTGAAATGAAAGGAACACTATTTGTGTCAGGGTGTATGACTCCTCGGGCAATGAAACAGAGAGGAAATAGTAAATCGATCAGAGCCTCGTTACACATTAGCAGCTCTGAGGCAGGGGTGTTTCCCTCTAAGTAAGTTGTTTTAATTGATAAAGGGTTTTCCAGTTGGGGCACGTGGACTAGAGTTCGTGCCGGGTCTTACTGGGTGTTCACCTCTTTGAGCCTGTCTTTTTTTTTAAAAATTTTTTTTCAATGTTTATTTATTTTTTTGGGGACAGAGAGAGACAGAGCATGAGCGGGGGAGGGGCAGAGAGAGAGGGAGACACAGAATCGGAAACAGGCTCCAGGCTCCGAGCCATCAGCCCAGAGCCTGACGCGGGGCTCGAACTCACGGACCGCGAGATCGTGACCTGGCTGAAGTCGGACGCTTAACCGACTGCGCCACCCAGACGCCCCGAGCCTGTCTTAATTTGCTCAGGCTGCCATTAACAAAATATGACAGACTGGGGTTAAACAACAGAAATTTATTTTCTCACAATCTAGGATGCTAAAGTCGAAGGTCAAGGTGCTGGTAGGTTTGTGCCTGTCCTGAGGTCTCTGTCTGTGGCTTGTGGATGGCTGCCTTCTTGCTGTGTCCTCCCATGGCTGTCTCTCTGTGCACGCACATGGCTGACGTCTTCCTCTGTGTGTGTGTGTCCTAACGTCCTCCACTTTTAAGGACACCAATCATATTGGATTAGGGCCACCCTAAAGACCTCATTTTAACTTAGGTACTTACTCCACTGGGCCCTGGGTCAGTGTAATCCATTATCTATGGATGATGCACAATAGCAAGTTGGCTGGATGAATTTTATAGGAAGTTGCGTTAAGCAGGAGAAGACTCCTAATATGTCTTCCGTATAGTTTAGGGGGAGCTTCGCCAAAAATATCTCTGGCCTTCAACAACTTCCCCCTGACTCTTCCTTCCTCAATCTCAGAAGGCTCTTCAGGATCTGAAGGTTCAGAGGAAGTTAGAGGTTACCCTGTGTTTGAGACTGGGGCCACATGCGCTCATCTCAGGCTGGAAAAAAATTCAGATTCTGTCACTCTTAGAGGCTGAACACCTCATACAGTGAGGCAAACCTGGGTTCTACTAAAAGCAAGGACCGTTTACACACACTGAACACACATGTGCATGCACACACACAAGATGCACACACATGCATGCACACACAACATGCACATATATGCACACAACATGCATTCACAGACGCACACACAACATGCGCGTGCACACATAGCATGCACGCGTGCACACACATGAACACACAACAAGCACACACCATGCACACACAGCGTGCACATGTGTGCACACACATGCACGCACACAACGCACATGTATGCACAACACAACATGCATGTGTGTGCACCCGTGCACACACATGTATGTGCATGCAATCACAACATGCACATGTGTGCACACATACATGCACACACAATACACACACAGCACGCACATGCGCGTACAGATGCACACACAACATGCACGTGCACATACATAACTTGCACATGTGCAAACGCATGCACATACATAACATGCACTGGACACACACACACACACACACACATGAGTGCACAGAGGCCAGAAAAGTTTGCACCTGTCCTTGAATAAAGAAAGTAGCAATGGGTACTTTTTACAGCTAGGGATTCCCAACCTGTGCTAAAGAATGCCCTTAGTCCATAGAGGGTAAAATAATACCATCGGCACCCTTGATCTTTCTCTCTCAAATTTTGAAACCTCAAAGCTGAATGAGGAGCGTAATATGCTAGTCTGCGACATCAGCCAGAGGAATCCCTTCTCTGTTGGTTCCTATGTCATATGATGCAGTGTGGGCAAGATAGGAAATGGAGCTACACACCCTCCTTGGGTGTTGGAGAACAGAATGGACACACCTTGGTTGCTTTCTGGTGCCCAGTCAAGCGCAGGAGTGCCAAGAAGAACTAGGAAGTCTAGAGCCACAGAACAAGCACTGTGATAAACTGAGGCAGGAGCTGGCCTCCAGCACTAAGGCAGAGAAGAAAAACAAAAGAGCATCAGGAAAGTACAGCTTCCGGCCTGAGAAAAGCCGACTCAGAAGAATGGGGAGAAGAGGGGCCTCAGGAATTCATCTTTTTTACCTCCGACCAACAGATTATTTTGTAGCTGAGAGACTCCGTTTTGTTGGATCTCAACCTGGATTTATGTCCAAGACGGGACTGGAAATGGGAATTATGAAGCCAAAAATATCAAACATCCTCAGATCCTTAGTTGAAAGCATTAGCAGCAACACACGACAGAACTCACCTCTCCCATTCTTTTTTTTTTTTTTTTAATTTTTTTTTCAACGTTTATTTATTTTTGGGACAGAGAGAGACAGAGCATGAACGGGGGAAGGGCAGAGAGAGAGGGAGACACAGAATCGGAAACAGGCTCCAGGCTCTGAGCCATCAGCCCAGAGCCCGACGCGGGGCTCGAACTCACGGACCGCGAGATCGTGACCTGGCTGAAGTCGGACGCTGAACCGACTGCGCCACCCAGGCGCCCCTCACCTCCCCCATTCTTAACATTTCATTAGGAGAGGAAAACCGCAGGCCGAACTTAGCAAAGGCTGTTATAATTAACTCACAAGACTCTGTGTTCTTGCTAGTGGTTTCGGGGTCTCTGAGGCTCAGAAACAATGTAAGATCGGCTTATTTAATATGTATTATGGAAAGAGGAAACAAAAACACATTTTTAGTCTCGTTTGCTAAACAGCAGCCCGATTCCATTACATCCATTGTGACTTACTGTCTCCAGGCTCAAGGGAATAATTTCTTTGTGGCATTTATCTGCATAAATTTGGGATGAAAGGAGTTAACGTGTGTCAATCAGGGTTCTTAAATGGCAAGTAACAGAGGACAAGTCTGGTCCCTTAGAGCAGAAAGGAATTTGTTGAGTTAGATAACTTCTGGAATCCCAGGAGGGCTGGGGAGTGAAGGCTGTAGGCTACGCAATCAACAACAGTTCCTGAAACCAGTTCTTGAGCTGCGCTGGGGCCGGCTCCCCTGCCTTCTCCCGGGGCAAGGAGGTGGCCGCGTGGGCTGTGAGCGCTTCTCACGCTGGACAAACTTCTAGATCATCTGGAAACCGGTTGTAGTGCCACCATCCTTCCCAGCGGGCCCCCACATCCTGACCCGTCTCCTCTGGTTCTCTGGCTGTTCCTCTTTCTCCAGAGACTTCTATGCAAATCTCCCCACCCCTACCGCCTCTTTCGGGGAAACCCGACCTTATCCAAGAGAAGGGGGCTCATCCTCTGGAACCACCTCCCCCCGCCAGGCATCCCGGCTGTTTTTGCTCAGGTTGGAGTTGTTCTGTCTGGAGCAGTACCTGGGGTGCCCCAGGCCCCGTGGCAGCTAAATCCTCGAGGCTGGGTCTGCTTATCCCTAAGAAGCCTCACAGGGCCGTATAGCATAGACTCATAATTAAGAGAGACAAGTCTCACAAACATTTCAAGGCCCTCTTCCTTCAGACACACAGAGCCTTACTTCTATGCAGGGTGGTTACCTTGAAAACACCCAAGGTAGTAGAGGGGACCCGCACTCCTCTCTGCTGGATGTTCTCATTGACTCCCTGGCAAGCGTTCCTGGCTGACCCTTTATGGAAAGGACTCATCTATCTTTTTCTCCTTCCTCATCTCCCTCTTGGGGGTGGAAGGCGGTACAGGATCTGGTGCCTGGTGCCACTTTTTTTTTTTTAATGTTTATTTACTTTTTTTTTTTTTTTAATAAAAAAATTTTTTTTTAACATTTATTTATTTTTGGGACAGAGAGAGACAGAGCATGAACGGGGGAGGGGCAGAGAGAGAGGGAGACACAGAATTGGAAACAGGCTCCAGGCTCCGAGCCATCAGCCCAGAGCCTGACGCGGGGCTCGAACTCCCGGACCGCGAGATCGTGACCTGGCTGAAGTCGGATGCTTAACCGACTGCGCCACCCAGGCGCCCCTGTTTATTTACTTTTGAGAGACACAGACAGCGCGAGTGGGGAAGGGGCAGAGAGAGAGGGAGACACAGAATCCGAAGCAGGCTCCGGGCTCTGAGCTGTCAGCACGGAGCCTGGCGAGGGGCTTGAACTCAAGAACCCTGAGATCATGACCTGAGCCGAAGTCAGACACTCAACTAAATGAGCCCCCCCCAGGTGCCCCTGGTGTCACTTCTCATTACTGCGTCATGTGTCGCTCTTCCTGTGGGAGTAGTCCAAGACCGCCTGTTAAACATGTAATGCGGCAGAATAAGCCACTTGAGAATTAACAATGCCTAATTCTCTTAGTTGTAAGCTCACCAGGAAAGAATGAGAGGAATTTTTTCCTTCTCCCAAGAGAGGAGCCAGGTTCTGCGTTCTGGATGTCTGGGCTTTTGCTGTCGCAGGGGAGCATGACATGCCTTTGTTTCCAAAGGTCTGGGAGACAGGACTCAACCCACTGGAATATGGAGAGGGCTCTGTGGTCATTGAAGGGGAGGGTGAAGGGGGTTGAGCTCTGAGGCTGGCCAGGTGGAAGGAGGTGAGGTTCCGAAACGGTGAAGGCCCCTCCCAGCCTGCAGGCACTACCTCGTGAAACATGACACCTTGGACAAGGACTGGTTACCCGGAGACAGTGAGCAATCCGGTACTGACTTGGCGCGGCTCTAACCGCCAAGGCAAGTGATCCCTGGTACTGAGCCTGACTTACAAGGAGTGATGCACTCAACACTGACGCCCGTCAGCACCCGGAATACCTGGCCTGGGATCATGGAGCAAGCAAGGCTCACCCCAGACAGAACTGCAGCATGGATAGGTGGCTGTGCAATGCACCCACAAGTAAGTTGACCCTTGAGCAACACAGGTTTGAATTGCTCGCGTCCATCTATATGTGGAGGTTTCTCGAGAAATATAGTACAGGGCTGTAAATGTATTTTCTCTCCCTTATGATTTTCCTTTAAAAATTTTTTTTAACATTTACTTATTATTTTGAGAGAGAGAGAGAGTGCAGGGGAGGGGCAGAGAGAGAGAGGGAGACACAGAATCCGAAGCAGACTCCAGGCTTTGAGCTGTCAGCATGGAGCCCGACTCGGGGCTTGAACTTACAGACCACGAGATCGTGACCTAAGGGGAAGTAGGATGCTTAACTGACTGAGCCACCCAGGCGCCTCTCTTCCTTATGATCTTCTTAATAACATTTTCTTGTCTCTACCTTACTTTATTATAAGAATATAGTATATAACACATATTACATACAAAATAGGTGAACTGACTGTTTATGTTATCAGTAAGGCTTTCTGTCAACAATAGGCTATTCGTAGTTTAGTTTTGGGGGGATCAAACGTTATGATTTTTGAGAGCATAGGAGGTCAGCACCCCTAACACCTGCATAGTTCAAGGCCCAACTGTATATAAGGGGATGTAAGGTGAACCAGCTGAACACTGACCTCAGGTTTAGAGACACTACTAAGTTCCCGGGGTTCCTTACAGCCCAACACTGGAGCCCCAAAGAGGATATTGGACTTCTCCCTGACTTTTACAACACCTTATTAGGGAATAATTTTAGATTTACAGAAATGTTGCAAAGATAGCACAGAGTTAATGTCATTGGTTTATACATTGTGTTATACTAACTAAAACCCAAACTTTATTTGGATGTCTCCAGTTTTTCCACTAATGTCCTCTTTCTGTTCCAGAATCCAATCAAAGGGATCACATAGCATTTAATCATCATGCCTCTCCAGTCTCCTCCAGTCTATGACAGCTTTTGCATCTTCCCTAGTTTTTCATGACCTTGACAGTCCTGAGGGGTATTGGCCAGCTATCCTGTAGAATGTCTCCTAAACTGACTTTGTCAGATACTTTTCTCATGATTAGACTGGGGTTGTGGGATTTGGAGAAGAATACCACAGGGGTGAAGCGCACTTCTCATCACATCACGTCCACATCACATCACATCACTTCTCATCGCATCGCATCACATCACATCACATCACATCACATCAGAGGGTCCATGACACCCACATGACATCACTGACCATGTTAGCCTTCATCACTTGGTGGATGTGGTAACTGCCAGGTTTCATCACTACCAAGTTACTAATCCCATTTCCCTATTTGATTCTCTTAAAGCCATCCGGCCCCTTTTTTATTTGCAATATAGAAAAATGAAGAAATACGATGCTACTTGCAAATGAGTGTCATGGAACACTTCTTGGCTGTTATATTTATATTTGAGCAAGGGTTTTCTTGAAGCCCTCTGCCTCAACCAAAAGTAGCAACGCTAATGGTAGGAATTTCAGGCTCTGTGACAGTTGGGTGTGGGCGTGTGGGCCTGGGTGGTAAATGCAAGCAACATTCTCAATCCTACCACTCAGGCAGTGCCCTGTTCCTCTGCCTATATATAGGACCAGAGCATGGGGTAGCCTGTTCACGAAATCTTCATCCAGATTTGAAAACTTAACACACCCACGCACATTTGAGGGACTATCCTGCCACTTATTTTCTAACACGGGGTATACGTGCAGATTTAGAAGGGGTGATGATTTTGTTTACTCAGGACAAATTAAGCATCGTTGGTTGAGAGCGTAATTGGGGAGGAATATGGTTCCCTGTCTGTTTCAAGTCCAACTTGTTCCCAGTGAGACAGTCACTCCATTTCAAGAGTATGCCCTTCCCTCCATCTTTGAAACTGGAAGCCACAGGAAGATAGATATGAAAACAAGTATAGAAAGACGCCTGCTTCTAATATCTGTTGCACCCACTTTCAGCTCCGGAAATGACATGAAGCGTCTCTTATTTTCGCAACCGCCTCCGATGACCCCGCGAGTTATGGATTTTCAGGTTTAATGCCTTAGACAGAAGGTATTTCTGTGGTTGAGATCAGCGGAGAGACTATGAATCATTCAGAATGCTGCAATGACAAAGTACTTGTTGGAACATCGCAGAAGTTGTTTATTGGGCTTCTGACTCGTAGAGAAACAAGGAATTTAGCAACAGATTTAGAGCAATAAAGCATGGTAATGTTTGTTCACACTTTGTGCTGGCAGAATTAAAATTCAGTTCTATAAGTCTTCAACTTGGGTCCTTCACAGAAACCATCTCATAATATCCCTTCACGTGGGCTGCGTTACAGCAGTTCTGCGGGAGGTGAGAGCAAGGCGTGGATTTGATGGAAGGGTTTTCAAGACACTAGAGATTAGGAAGTGGCCTTTGGGGGGGGGGTCCCGAGTTCAGGAAGGCCCAGCCAAGCACCCCCTAAGGTCAACTGAAGATCAAGGGGGAAAGGTCGCCTCGCACATCCTCCTCTACCTGGCTCTATTTTAAACCTGGGAATCGGACTGCAGGGCAGAGGATTAGAACAAGATTCTGCCTCTACTCCTGAGAGACTCACAGTGTGGAGGGGGGGGGGGGGGTCGCAGGGAGAGGAGGACAAGGAGAACAAGGAATAGACGGATGAACGGTGGCTGGAGTTACCCGGTGCGGAGGTGGGGTGGGAATGGAAGGGCATTCTAGGCAAAGACAGGGGTTGTTAAAAGGCCCAGAGGCAGGCTGGGAGAACTGCAGATACCTAAAGCCAGCTAACTAACCTCCATGGAAACAGAGGGATTTTGCTTCTCTTGAAAACAAAATGGCGTGACGCTTAAATTTCACTTGGAGTTCACATGCCAACAGAGCTAAGGACATCTGAGGAGAGGATAATGGGAAGAGGCAGAAGCCTTAAATGTTAAAAGAGATCAGAAAGCTACTTTAAAATGCTATGTTCTGGGCATAAGAATGGATAAATGAGGGGCCTGGGTGGCTCAGTCGGTTGAGCATCTGACTTTGTCTCAGGTCGTGATCTCATGGCTCGTGAGTTCGAGGCCCGCATCCGGCTCTGTGCTGACAGCTTGGAGCCTGGAGCCTGCTTCGGATTCCGTACCTCCCTCTCTCTCTCTCTGCCTTCCTCCACTTGTGCGCGCGCTCTCTCTCTCAAAAAATTAATAAATAATAAACATTAAAAAAAATTTAAAAAGAAGAGAATTGATACGTGGATAGACAAAATAGAATAGTTAACCTAAAAGAGACCCCAGAACATTTAAGTACTTAATAGATCATAAGGAACTAAAGGAGGAAGATGTGAATTACTCAAAAAATGATGGAAAAATGGGTTATCTGTAAAAGATTGAAACTACAGCCTTACGCACTATATTAAAATGCATTACAGATAGATTAGCATAAAAGTAACGCATGAAGCCTTTGAAAAGCAGAAGAAAATGTCAGAATTGAGCACTCTCTAAGTATGCCATCAATACAACAAATTGTTATGAAAAGGAACGAGATTTTTCAATAAAATACAATTCTTATGTATCTAAAAAACAGTAAACAATAAAAAGGCAAATGACACACTGGCAAAAATATTTTTAACACTATAATAAGGGATTAGTAGCTTTGTTTTACAAGCAAACTTTACAGAATATTAAGAAAAAGTACACCAGAAAAACAGGCAAGGGACATGAACAGAAATGCATATACCCAATAAACGTTAAAGAATGCTCAACCTTGGAGATAATGAAAGAATGCACAATAAAATGAAAAGATAGTATATTTTCACCTGTCCAAGCGGCAAATATTTTAAAAGAAGGGACTCCACCAATATGTACCATGAGCCTTGAACATACGTTCATTACCTATGACCCCAAATTCCTCCTTTAGAAAGCTATCTGAAGGCTAGGGTTTCGAAAGTAACAGCCCCGTTTTTAAAAGCAAACTCTCCTTCCATAAATGTATGCTGGGACCCAAACCTGCAAGATTATATATATATGTATATATATTATATATTATATATTATATATTATATATTATATATTATATATTATATATTATATATTATATAAATATATAAATATTATAAATTATATATATTATATAATATATAATGTATAATATATTATATATAATATATATTTATATATAATATAAATATATATTATACATATTATATATATAAAATACATACATATACTATATATATAAAATACATATATATA